ATAAATAAATAAATAAATATGCCTCAGTCACAAAAATACAAATATCTGTTGCAAATGTTACTTTCTAAAGGCCAAAGAATTGTTAAATTTTAAACGTTTTAATTTTCTGAGTCAAGTTGCTATCATAGATCTAGGGTGAAATAAGGGACATAAATGACCTTAACAGGTACCTCGCTACTAGTGAAGGTGATAAGATGTTTGAGGAGAAAAATAAACATAATTCAGCTTACCATGAAACTGTGTAACAAAATCATGCTAGCAAATGCTCATTAGCATGATGGGAATTTATCTCCCTCACACCCCCACCCCAGGCTTGTCCTACAAAAAAACAGGTTTGAGGGTATGGATGTTGTTATTATGTGCCATAAAGTCACCTCCAACTTATGGGTATATATAGAAGGCTGTAAGTTGGAGGGGTTATTCTGGTCTGTAATCAATTATTACCTGGGAAGCCACATATTCACAGTTGCCATCAAAGTCATAATATCTTCCATCAAAGGTAACAAAATGGCCACTTCCATAAATGATACATGTTCCATAACACACATTGGTGGTGCAGCGCCAGGCTCCTCTTTCGCAAGTACTAGAGATTGCGAAAAAGAAAGAATTGGGTAAGGCATGTTCTTTGCCTAAGTACATTGCTTTTGAAATGCAAGGCAAACCATTCCCTCCCCACAAAAAATATTATGCAACCCGTGTTCCACACAATAGTCGACTCATACCCTGATATAACCAGCACAAGTAATAGCAAATGAGGACCCTACCATGTGTTGCAGTCCACATTTATTTTCGTTCCAGAGGAATAAAAATCCTTGTTATGAATGCATGGACAGTTCTCTTCTCTAACACATCTTCCTTGGCCATCATCAATCAGTCCATCAGGGCATACACATCCTGAGATGCACTCTGTCTGGAACTATATGGGGGATAAGAATAACATTACATGGAGATTTCTTGACCAAGTCAATCAGAATCATTTTATTTTTTCTCTCTGATAGTATACTTCCATATTGCCAAGCCAGCTCACCATCATTAAGTTCATCATTAACACATGATGGTTATAGGACAAGTGGGATAAGACCTTGGTCTAACTTGTCCAGAACCCTGTGTGGAATTAAAATTGGGCTGGGGTGGAAAATGTTCCCCACCCGCGTGCACTGTTATGATGCCACCTGACACATATATAAGGGGAGCTTTTTCAGAGACTTCCGGGAGTAGCAAAGTTCTATATTGGGAGGGAGATCAGTTTACAAAGTGGCTAATAGTTGATTTCTTTCTTTTATTAAAAAGACTTGCTATATTTCAGGTTCCTGCACACCTTGAAAAGAATATCCTTGAAAAAGGCACTACAGATGCTTCCAGGAGAGTAGGACATTGCTAGCCAATACACACTGCTGTCAGCTATTGCATCTTTTTCATTATTGTGCAGTGGAAAGGGGGGGGGAGATGGAAGGAGCAGAAAAGAACCAAGGGAGGGGTAAGGAATAGAATTCAACATCTGGATATCCCCATAAAGTTCCTTAAATATGTATCTGTAATTACACAATACAAATTACATCTGGAAGAACCTGGCATCATGACACATCCAGAAGTTGCAACAAAAGGGTTGAGAAGAAAGAAATAAAGAAAGAAAGAAAGAAAGAAAGAAAGAAAGAAAGAAAGAAAGAAAGAAAGAAAGAAAGAAAGAAAGAAAGAAACCAGTCTTCAGTCAGTATACTATTTCCACCCTGCAAGATTTACAAAGAATGCTGGGCAAAAGATTTCAATTCAACACTAGTCTGAAAAGAAATTTGTGTCTTATCTATTAAGATGAAAAAATTGGAAGCTAAGATTTTGGTACATCTTTTTATAAATATCCACTCAAATTCAGAGATCTCTTATATCTGGGTAAGAAATAATTTGATTTTTTTTAAAAAAAAAATGAAATGTGTGTGTGTGGGGGGGGGAATGACAGATGCATCCACCTAGCCCCGGTAAAGGGAAAGGGAAAGGTTCCCCTTTACATTTAGTCCAGTCATGTCCAACTCTAGGGGGCGGTGCTCATCCCTGTTTCCAAGCCAGCGTTTGTCTGGAGGGTTTCCGTGGTCACATGGCCAGCGCCACTAGACATGGAATGCCATTACCTTCCCACCATGGTGGTACCTATTTATTTACTCATATTTTTTACATGCTTTCAAACTGCTAGGTTGGCAGGAGCTGGGACAAGCGATAGGAGCTCACTCCATTGCATGGATTCAATCTTACGACTGCTTGGTCTTCCGACTTTGCAGCACAGAGGCTTTGCAGTTTAACCCGCAGCGCCACCATGTCCCAGTACTGAGAGCTAAACTCTGAAAATCTATCTTTAATTCTCCAGAAATAGAGGAGAATTTTGTTCCATTTATTTTTAAGAAATTGGCATAAATCTACCTTTTCCCTCCAGATACGGGATAGAAAGTGTTTCAGGCTTTAAAAAATTCAAATCTGAAGCTAACATAAAATCCAATTTCTAATCAAAATCAAATTTAATATGGTCTTAAAACTAAATGCAAACTTTCTTTGATTCAGGATTTCAAAACCAGTTTCAGCCCCTATCACCTATCATTATCACTTTCCTTATCATCCTTATTACTAGTATTTCTCTTTTGCATTTTAACAAGCCTTTTAAAAGGAAACATCATTATGCTGTATTGAATAGTACTCAATAATTTGTACTTTAAGTTTTATTTCACAGAGGAAGGAGAGATATTAAGAAAGACTAATTAGAAAAACAAGTTAACATTTCAAATTAAAGAAAGTGGAAAACCTACATGTTCAGTACCCAGGGTTTGACAGGTAACTTGTATTGGTGTTTGAGAAGATGAGCTAATGTTGTTGCAGTCAAAATATGTCATTTCAGCTGAACATTCTGTAAAATAAATAAAGAATATTAGGTTGTATTTTCATAGACAGGAGGACAGAAATGAAAGCACTAGAGAAAACAATCTAGTGATTCAAGTAGTTAAATAACAGCACTTAAAAACCTTGTGATATTTGTTAAACAGAAGCAGAAATGCTTACACATAGAATACATCCTTCAGAAAAACTTTTATATTGTTTTAAGAAGGCTATATCTCCTTTAATAAACATTCAAATGAAATGAGGATACCATACTATGTATGATGCATTCAGCTACCTAGTAAAGGAATACTACCACCCCTACAACAGAATCTAAAACAATATTTCAGTCCTATATGCACTTGAGTTACATATATTTGAAGTCATTTGGACTTACTTCTAAATACACATTTACAGGATTGTACTGTTAATAGAAAAAAATAGGTCTCCATTTTAATCATGTAATAGAATGTGGTTAAGGAATATAGGAAAATAATTGACAGTTTTCTCTGATGGATCATTGAGCAGTATCTAATGTCTAAAGGAAATGTGTTTGAGATGCACAGGAAAAACATGTTTAAATAGTACCTTAAGGGTAAAGCCCTAATATATTTCTGAGAGGAATTAAACTTTAGCATAAGGCCATGTGGCAAGGACTTCTTTCCTAAAAGCAGCAACAAAATCATATGCAGAATGATTCAAGCAGGAAAAGGTAACTTTTCACCTACCGTGATCTGATGTCCCCACTGGTATACACAGGAATTTTCCGTTTTTGCAAATACTGGAGAAGAACAGAGTAAAATGGACAGTTGGCTTTTGCAAGTGAACTCTATTCTATAGAATTAATAAAAACTAAATAATAGAAAATAAAGATCCACTACAAAAGAACATGTAAAAAACAAGGGTATTGTTTTGCCAACAGTTTCTAACAGATGTTGTATTTCAATGCATGAAATAAAAGCAACTTATCTAATGACTGAAAGTCAGCTTCTCTATAACATCTACATGAAACCACTGGAAGAGGTTGTCCGGGGTTTTGGGATTCAGTGTCACCAGTACACAAATGACACCCAAATGCTATCTCTCCTTTCTGTCTAAATCTGAGGAAGCCGTCCAGCTCAAGATCAGTGTCTGGTATCAGTAACGGACTGGATGAGGGTGGATAAACTGAAACTAAATCCAGACAAGACAGAGGTGCTCCTGGTCAGTCAAAAGACAGCTCAGAGAACAGGGATGCAGCCTGTACTTGATGGGGTTACACTCCCTCTGAAAACAGGTGTGCAGCTTGAGGATGTTCCTGGATTTGCGTCTGAGCCTGGATGCCCTTTATGAGCCTTTTCAGAAGTTAGGATCTTTGGGGGAGGCCTTTCTCTTGGTCCCACCACCTTCACTGGTGCATTTGGTGAGGACACAGGAGAGGGCCTTCTCTGTTGCTCCCAGACTTTAGAATCCCCTTCCACAGCAGGCCAGACTAGCTCCATCTTTGCTATCCTTTCATAAACAGACAAAAAACCTTTCTCTTTAGGAAAGCTTTCTCTCTGTAACTGACTGCCTGAGTGGGACTTTTAAATGAATTGTTTGTACCTTACTGCTTTGAAGGTGGTTTTTGGTGTTGCTTTTGTTTACCATTTTTTTAGTGTAGCATTTGTTTGATTCTTTTTAGTATTTTCATACTTCTGGTTGTTAGCTTTAAATAGTGTCTCTTAGCGATATAAGCTGCCTTGGGTCCTTTTTTTAAAAAGAAGGGCAAAGTAAAAATAATTTGCCAAGGAAGCCACAACAGGTGGCTGCACCAGCTGCCAGCTGGAGGGCGCTCTTCATGCTGCTTACCCTGGGTGTCCAATTTTTTTGTTGCTTACAACTATGATTAGGCATCATGAAAAAACATGGGTTGCTAACACATTTTAGCCTCTAATAACACCAAAAAGACATCATCTTATCTGTTCAATGTTTCTCATGTTGGTTAGGAAAGAGAATTTCAACTGGTCTATGCCAAATACTCTGACGTCCTGAATTATTTACCTTGTGGTGGCTGAAGAAGACAACGTCCATACGTGGTTTGTACCTGATCCTGTTCTACATAAGACCTGCCATCCTCCTGAAGCTGCAAAAAATTGCAGTGCAGCCCCAACATGGACTGTCCCTTGCCCTGAATCTTCATCTTCCCACCCAAGGAGAAAGCCAATAAACCATAACCTTAACATACCAGCGCTCATCCTGTTTCATGATGATGTCTCCAGCCTGCACATAGGAGCCTTTGTAATGGCACGGGCACTTAGAAGCTGGCACACAGGCACCTTTTTCATTCAGGTAGGTATTATCGGGGCAACCACAGCCATCTACTGGGGTAAAGCCTTCCAAGCAATGCTTATCCCCATCAGTAAGAGAGCGGCAGGTTTGCTGGCATGACGTAAGATTGTAACGGAAGACTTGGGTTGTAGGGCAGGAAGAGGCTGCAGAAAAGGGGAGAAAATAACCCATTAAAATCCAAGAAGGAAAAACACATGAGAGAGCTCAGCTGTTTGCAACGTTCAAAGTCCATTCAGTTCATGCCATCTAAGTTCTGTTCCTGAGGCTTCTCTATGAAGAAATAGCCACATGCTTGGGGTGTCAATAAAAGTATTTCTAAGGCTATTTTTTATAAAGGAAATAGGAAAAGGGCTTGCCACAGGCATGAGCCACCTATGCAAAGTGAATGCATCATATTTACATTATGAAACAATTGAAGCAATCTGCAGTGACAAAAAAGGAGTAACAATATTCTTTAGCATGGCTTTCTGGAGTTATAGTATAGGTACTCCATTAACAAAACACTGTTATCCTATTCTTCTGAAGTCATTACTCTTGTTGCTGTTTCACCCCATGTCAATGAAAACTTCATATCTTGGTTGATTTCTCTTTTTTATTTTCTCTTCCCCCGCCCCACGCATGTTTAATTCATCCAAGCATACTGTATGTCCCAGAATCCATTTTGATCAGTTAGGTATCTCATCTTTCCTACTGCCAATCCTGTCTTTGTCTACAAACATTAACGATACAACGGAGAAGGATTTGTCAGTTTTGTTCAAAGCAGGGATGAAGGTGTAGACACATACTGCAGATGTTATCTTTCCAGCCCCACAGCATGACCCGTTTCAAGGCACAGGCTCTCGCATACGATGACAGGGCAGCACACAAGCATTGTTCATTGGAATTACAGTTGCAGGTGTCATACTTGCAGCGCTGGAAAAAAAAAAGGAACCAATGATACTGCCTTTTATAGTTGAATGAAGGTCTGGCAACCCTAAGTCGCAATGCTGAGACACACTCAGTGGCCTGTTCCACAACTATGATGGTGATACAAATATACACTGAGCGCTATCCATTATATTAGCAGTGGCATATAGGAACCTTTTAATTGTTCTTCTTTATTTGATTTTTAAAATGTAAGGGTTTTTTTCCTGATGGACTCACTCCACCCCCAAACATACTGAAGTCCTCTTCTGTCACTATTTGATCAAGTAAAATAATAATAATCCACACATGGGCTGTTCTACAACAATGAAGCAACTCTCTGTGATGTGGAGATAGTATATCATAGCTGAGCTTCTTGGGCCCTAATAATACATTATGTTTTATTTTGCCACCAGTAATTCTTTTGGTCAGCATTCTAATTTATGTATGACTCAAGGAGACTTTATATTTATATTTATATTTATATTTTGGACTTTATACACCCCATGCCACATTGCAAATTTTATTTATATAATCTGATAATTTAAAAAGATTTAATGAAAGACTCATACCTTGTAATAATCTGTTGGGTCAATGACTGAGTGGCATTTCGCAAAAACACTTTCTGTGCTTTTCAATAAAGAGCACCAATGTTCGGCATAATTTTCTAGAAAAAAGGAGGGAAATTAAGCTCAGGTATGCATCATGCACCACTGCCATATACTCAGCATTCAAATTCTTTCGATAACAATGGCAATCCATTTGAATGGCACAAAACTAATATTTTATGAGTTGTAGAACTAGCTCAAGAGTTGAAATGTACACAACTTCCCTCTATATTTCATTAATAGCTATTAACCTCATGGGATACTGTCACCATTCAAGAACAACACCATTTAATAACAATAGTTTGCTCATTTTAGAACAGGAATCTATCTTGCATTAGATAAAACAGAAATATCTTCTTTCTCTAAACTCTTATTTGTTTAGAGATGCTTCTAGTTTTTTAAAACAAAAGCAATAACAGGAAATAACAGGTTAACAACATATTCAGATCCTCAGAGCTAGCAAAGATGTATGCATTGATAGAGTCTCAGTTGATTGTGGCTTCTTCAAATTCGGTTTTTGACTTGAAGGTGGTCTGAATCCTTTTGAATTGTGACATGTCTTTATGAAAGACTCGTGTGCTTACCATTTTCAAGGCTAAGAGAGCAAGGATTTTCCCATGAAGACACTATGTCTGTGCAGCTGGCTTGTGCTTTCCAGGTGTTAGCGAAGGAAGTCCCTGTTGCTTCAACCAATCCACCAGATGTTTTGAAATCATCAGCTTCTATTCCATTGAAATTTCCACAAAGACCTGTCCATAAAGCAACAAAGTTTTAATTTTTTTTTCCATTTTCAACTTTTTTTTTTTTTTTTTTTTTTTTGCTTACAATATCGGGATGCTAAGCAAACGCCACTGCAAAACAGGCAGAGGTCTTCTCACTCAAGCTCTCTGCAGATCCAATAGTATTTTCCTGTCAATATGCATTTTACTAAGTTGGTGCCTCTGGGTAGAAGGATCAGCCAAGAGGTGCTATTGCTTTGAAGGGATGCCGGAATCTGTTCATTTTCTTTGGAGAAGCTCTTCTGTAGTATATATCTTTTTTGAGGGTGGGGAGTGGGGGTAGAATTATGTCTCAGATAAATCAAGGGGTCTGCATATCATATGGAACTGTGCTGTTTCCTGAACTTGCCCTTTTTCATTCAAATGTTTAGTTCACACATGGAGAAAGGAAATGTCAGCATGGAGGTGAAAACTACATTTAACAAACAACTTTTCTCGGGATGCTGCTGCTTGAAAAATGCTAATTTACTTTTGACATGTTGAGACAACAGTGAAAGTACTTCCAAAACTGAGCTATCCCTGGGGTGAAAAACTACTAGGGGGTCACTTCAGAACTGGTCAGTTACCAAGATGAACAACTTACTGAGCTCCAGTTTAAGAAAGAAAAAGAAACATTAATGACATCTGGACAGTCATTACATTATTCTAATCTATCCAATAATGCAATAATGGAATAAATTATATGAAAATGCATAGATATTTTCCTTCTTCTAAAAATCCTTTATTTCTTATTATTGTTTATCAAGGATAATTTCCCTGCTGAAACAGAACCAGGGCTGTGGTAATCAGCCACCATGTTAAACAGGTGGGCAAAGTGCTGATTCACACAAGATGTTTCTTGGAACATAAAGTAATGTCTGGATGATGTAATGTCAATTGGCCATATGTAAATGTACATAGATATAAATGAATGGGACATGTGGAGAAGATGTGGATCTCTTTCTGATGAGGGCTATAGTGTTATGCTGTCAGATTGAACTGTGAGAACTTCTGTACATATTTGTAAATATACATGTTGAGAAGTAGCTGTCTGTACGAGTGTTATTCTACTGGACCATCTGGACTGATTTTAACTCTGCTAAAATACTGCAATTCCACCAATTGGTATTGTGTCATCAGCAGTGCTAGGTCACAGCACACAACAGTTCAAACTTGCCTTGGAGAGCTCCTTTGGCGGATTGGTCTGACATGACAAACAACTGCATCACTGGATCCAACTGGATTTGAAGCTTGAGGCCAAAGGATGTTTGCACAATAAGGTCATCAGAAGATGGTTGAAAAACTGAGAAGCTGGCTAGAAAACAAAGAGGAAGCCACATCATCTTGTATTGAGTGTAATTCAATCAATCTATTCCTTAAATTGGGAAATAAAACACAATCACCTTATTTATGTCCTAAATTCCCATATCAAATACCAGCTAGGAGAGCTGGAACAGGAAGATATTGTACTAGTATAATTTCTCACTCAGGAGAGGAGGAGGAGAAAATGTATGACACTAGTCATACATTAATTTCTCAGCAAGGAGAGGATAAGAAGGGGACAGGGAAGAGACTAAGTGCAGTGCTGTCCTATTCATTTGGACTGACCTATGCCAAATGAATGAGTACATTTTTTCACCACCTTTCTAACATTCTATATCATAGAATCATAGAATTATACAGTTGGAAGGGGCTTATGAGGCCATCGAGTCCAATCCTGTGCTCAATACAGGAATCCAAATCATAGTAGATCTGACAGATGATTGCCCAATTTTCTCTTGAATGCCTCCAGCATTGAAGCATTCACTATTAAATGATGTTCGTTTAAATTATTCAATACTATCCGGAAGGTTAGTTATCCTTCTGCTTTATATTGATCTACTAACTTGAAAAACAAGAGGATAGCATGAAGAAATGTCGGAAGTGTGAATGCGGACAGTGCATGGGTTGGGGCCCCTTTCTTACCTGCTATATGGGGCAAGTTGATCTCCATCTCATTCAGCAATACAGTGCCATCTGATCTGAAAACCACAACCTGTGAGAAGAGAACATATGTTAGTATCTCAGAGTTTTATAAAGAGGGGAATGTTATGTCAAATAAACATTTGTAATACAGTGATTATTATAGTACTCAAAGGGGAAAAGTTATTAACGATTTCATTCAAGAAAGATGACAAAAATGTTCTTTGGTCTGGCTTCAGGGATTTGGCTAGCTGGTTAAGGAACACTCCACAAACTTGAGCAATGGAACTCATGTACAGACATATGCACAGGCGCACCAAACAACAGTGTACATCCCTGATGGGAAAGTACCGTGTAGGACAGAGTGATCCTTCTTGGCTTGGCAGGCTGTTCATAGTGATGTATGAGGAGGTTAAGAGTGTTAGCCTACTTAACTAACATACGTGCTACAGTTTATAGATGCTGCAATTTGTCTGACTGCTAAGGAATTTAGTTTATTATCAGGCAATAGCCAGTACACTTGAATATTATATATAACACTGTGTTTAGCAGCAATTCTATCTCTGTGGAACTTTTTGCATATAGTTTTAGGTTGTTCTTGTCATATATTTAGCTTTTCTTGGGATGTGATTGAAAGAGAAATTAAAAATCTTGAATGACTGGCAAAATAATGATGACAAGAACAACCTAAAACTATATGCAAAAAGTTCCACAGAGATAGAATTGCTGCTAAACACAGTGTGAATATTTAGTGAAGATATTCAAATGAAATTTGGAATTGACAGATGTGCAGCTCTGTCTATACACTGTAGCAAGATCCAAAAACAAGATGGAATGGAATTAAAAAATGGTGATATTATAAAATCACTATCAAGTGATTAAAATGATAAATACCTTGGAATACTAGAAACAGATAACATCCTGCACACAGAACTTAAATATCTGAGAGAAAAGGAATGCATGAAAAGAATGTGGAAAATCTTAAAATCAAAACTGAATTGTGGAAATAAAGTCATAGCCATAACCTGAGTCATGCATGTCATAGAATGCAGCATAAAATGATGAAAAAAATCCACACCTGTGGTCTGCGCCTTTCTTGAGCAATGCTGCATTATAAAATCTTTATTACATACACTAAGAGCATTGTCAACTAAAGTTTTAACTATTAAGAAGCTGAAGAATGTAAGGGGATGTAAAAAATGAAGTGAACAGCCTGAAATGTAATGGCAACATGGGTGTGAAGGGAAATAGCGTATAAAAAGATTTTTTAGATAAGCAGAGTACATTTATTTACAGTAAAAGTTAAACAAGGTGTTCAGTTTCTGATTTCACTTCTTATTTTAGCTCCAACATTTGAATCAATGTTCAGACCATCTCCAGTTTCTTGGAATATAAATATAAAGGGTCTTGACTATAGTACATTTTACTTTTCTGAGGGTGGAAACAAGGAGCAAAGGGACAGCAAGCAGTGAAAGATGTTGCCCAAATTAATGCAGAGAAATGCCAGGTTAGCAATTTGTTGGGTGGGTCAGCCGTAGGATATTGCCAACAGGATTTGCCTCTGAGAGACAAAGAAGAAGCCTGGTTTGGCATCAAGTCCTACAATCTAGATAAAACTCCCAGCCATGCCCCTCATGACCTATGTTGAACTTACATTTTTCTTGTTGTCTGTCAGCAACACTACTGTCTTCAGGCATGTCTGCTTCTCTGTAGAACTGCATGGGCCCAGTTCTCCCAAGAGGGCATGTGAGTCATTTTTATTGCTCTGCAATTACAGAAGAACAAATATGATTAGCATGGCTGGCCATTGCAGCCATGAACCAATTCCTTCCACAGAAAGATTGGAAAAGGCAATGAAAGAAAAAATGCCTGGAAGTGCCCTTCCCAGGTATGTCAAGTTCATCAGCAAGGTTATGCCACCTTCCTTCTTATTTCAGGATGAGTCTTAGAGCTTCTCTGGGAAAATATTTAACAGCATCTCACCCAAAATTCCCATCAACCAAGTAACTTCCTCCCAACAATCTCTTTTTCCCTAACGTGTTCTGTTGAAGTGCATAGGCTAGTCTAATAAGACTCCTTTCTCAAAATGGGGAAGAGCCATTTTTTGTGGGAGCGAGACTTCTTCTTGCACCAAAGCAACAGCAGCCTCCTGTGCTTCTGTGGAACCGCTAGAAGAAAAGTGGTATGTGACACAGCAGGGTCCATTTTGGTTATGAAAAGACATGGAGAGAATGCTAGGCTGCCTATGGAGTCTAGCAACTGGACTGAGACTCAGGACTGTGGCAATGGCTTCATTTTGTAGAGTCAATGCAAAAATGAGCTAGCACAGAAGATGCAGCATGGCTTATAGAAGGCTTTTAACTTTTTAATGATCTATTTTAGAGATCTGTTCTCTGCTTTTGGGGTATCCCTATCAAGGCTATAAATTCCTACCCTGGTAGAATGTAAATTAAAATGTTCTTTTTAATATTTTCATTGTACATTTTATGCTCCTGTATTTCAGATTGAAATCTGACTTGTTTACCTACAACTTAACTTTAGTTTCCACACATTCATAAATATTTATGCCTACAGTTTCTCATAGCTATAAGACTGATTTCTATAGGACGGAAATATGCCAGTAACTTCTTTAAAAGGCACATGTTTTCAGTACTTTGGATTTCATTTTATGCTTATGGAGCCTAGAAACAACGAAGATGAAGGGCTCTTAGGAAGTTGTTCAGGTATCATATTTTCTGACCTGACAGCTGCATCAAGAGAGAAGGGAAACCCACAAGCAAATTAAAGAAATTTAAGGAAACAAATTAATTAAACATTTAATTTCATGCCTTCTTTAATCAGTGTGGAAATGTCTGATACATATACCTTGGTGAACACATAGTAGCAGTTTCCATGAAATGTGAATTTCTTTCCATCAAAAGTAGAGATGTGTGCTCCTCCTTCCACTGCACATGTACTTGGACAGGGTATGTCCTGGCATACCCACCTACCAGAGTCACAGATGCTGTGAATGCAAACAAAACAAGGTATCAGAAGATGCGCTCGGAGCATTCCAGCTGAAAACTTTACCAAAAATATTTTCATCAAGAGGACATTTGGAAAGGAATCTAAGAGTTCACCCATTTCATTATGCCTCTTCTTTCAAATAAGCTGCTGTCTAAACCCCAAGTCATTTATACAGCACTGGGAAAAGGTGACATTTTTAAAAAAAATCAGCCCCAACAACCTTTCAGCGAAGCTTCACCACAAACATTCCTGCCAAAGGACTGTGAGGGATTATGAGTAAAATTTTGTTTAGAGGCCATTTGCTTTTTAGGGACGTAAAGAAAGAACCCTCTGTTGCGAGTTCTTAATACTAGGATTATCAGAGGTAACTGGGTGTATTTCATCTGGCACTGCAAGAGATGAGTGTCGTTGCATGGGGAGAAGCAGATAGAAAAAGACCTGGTCATGTTTCCTAAACTGTCCTTCACTCACTCTGATCTATGCTTATGTTCTGTCAATCTACACTGATATTCTTAGGGTTTCTAATGTCACTTACTGCCTTCTCATCTTTCATTCCTGATCTCAAGCAGTGATGGGGGCTGCTACGGCTCCTTGCATCAACATTTTAGCGAACGAAAAATGGAATTTTTAGTATCTTTCCTATCTTAGTGATAAATGCTGGCTTTCTTCTTTTCTTAAAATAAACGTGGATGTGATTTCTTTCCAGAAGTGTAAACTAAAGTGTAAAGTTAACCATAGCCCCAGGACATGGCTGATCTTTGCTACTTCTTCATCTGCGCACAGCATTGCCTAGTGGATGGTTGCCAGAGGCTCAAGGCCTGCATTAATTCTGATATGTGGAACACTGACACTTTCTAAAAAGCAGCATTTTTGTCTTTATTGAAGGACAGAACACTGTTTACATTTCAGAATATGATGTACAGCATTCTGTGGCCCCTAGAGCCACCCCAAGACAAACAGTGTTTCCTTCCACACTGTTTTAACCTCAGAAACCAGAGAGTCATTTCTGCTTTTGGTGGAAGGAGCAGATGGTGCCAGAAGGGAATCTGAGGGACAGTAAATGCACCCACTCCACATACTCTTCAATGCTGCCCACCTTTGCTTTGAACTGAGTGGTAATGCTAGGAAATGTTTGCCTCTCTTTCTGTTATGAAATATGCCAATATTAATTAATGGTTGTCTTTTACCAAATTATTCTGAAAAGGAAAAGGCTTCTGGCACTGCAAACAGTGCTTCAAGATTCTTAAACTCTTTGTATCTAGAAAACTGTCTACTCTAAACTAGTGTGCTATATTAAAGATTATTATTACAAAGAGGCTGATCCAGCACAAGAGAATGGATTTCTTACCAGCTTTCACACTCGTTGGTGATGTTTTGGCCAGGGGAATATATTTTCCCGTGAAGCTTACAGTGACATTGGCTTGTGGGTATACAGCCTTTCTCAGTGATGTCATCATATACCGTGCCTGCAAAAAGTAACAACAGTTGTTTATGACAACTTAGTCTGCATATCTCAACATATTTACAAGGAAAGAAATCACCCTGAAGTAAGAGGGATTTTGATCACCATGAAACACAAAAACCTACTGTAATTTCTTGGAAGCCCGGCAACTTCAAAATAAGAATGGCAATTAGCCCAACAATACAGAGGATGGGGTGACCTGACTTCTCTGGCGACTAGCAGGTGACAGAAATGTTTGGTCAAAACATTTTCTAAATGAGGCCTGTGTCTGGCAAGTGTATTCGTTGACATGTGTACCTCATGCATTTCCAAAGAAGCTCAGAGATATTTATTTCAATCCTTTCCAAAGTTGTTTTTCTCAGAAATACTGGCAGCCTGTGGTTTGGGCCAGTCAGTGAAGGGGAAATTCATGACTCATGTCAATTTGAGGTGCCAGTCCTGCTCAGAGCATGAGCAATCCTTGCTTATAATTAAGTTCCTTGAGTTCATTAAGTCTTACTTACTGCTAAGCATGTTTTCCAGCAATAGCAACTTGGCCTTGGCTAATCATTGGAGCAGGGATGTGAGCCTAGGTTTTGTCAATATAAACCCATAGTTATAGCTCATAAAGAACAAGACAAACCATTACCTTCAGGGCAAAAGCAGCCATCCATATAGTGTTCTTCGCACAGCCTGCTGATCCCCAGGTGGGAACAGGTATCCATACAGGGTGACCCACTTTCTAGGTAGACCATGTTTCCAGGACATGACTTAGCTAGAACAAGAGAAGACACAAGCACCAGTTAGAAATATGAATTAAAACCCATGACAAATATTAAAGGGGATGTGGGAGAGAATGGAATTACAGTAATGAGAAACCTGGATAAACATTACTCAAAACGTTATTTACCTTGAGAGACAAAACAGTTCTGACTGTCATTAAAAACATGTTAAAATTGAATTCCAGTTTTTATAGTGATATAATTTAATAAATATTAAAATTATTTTAAAGTAATTTCATTAATGTTTTGAAAGGTGCTCAGAAGAGTCAAATTTCATGTGTGTGCACGTGTGCATGCATGGCTGTACATTTCTGTTTGGGAAAGAGAGACTCTGTAAGCAATAGATGTTGTAGTGAATAAATGTAAGAGATACAACAGGCCGGAACTAAAGAGACAAGACACAGGTTGTTGAGTTAAAACTTGGGCCACAACTATTTAAACTAGTCCTCCAACTACAAGGGGGCCTGAATGTAGTGCGAGATACTTCTCAATCCAGAGTAGCCTATACCTCCAGACCATTCAATAGAGCAAGGTGAGCTATTTCTGAATCGTGCTGTCCATTATACAGCACGAATTCAGGTGCTCTGTGTTAAGGGTACCCCCACCTTCTCAGCCCACTGAGTCTTGTGACCCCACGTGGGCTGTTGGCTGGGAAGTCCCCCTATGGAAAGCCACCTCTCATCTGATGTCCAACTGGCTCCACCTGGCAGAGAGATGGCATAATTCTTGCACCACGTGTTCACCATGAACTCACCCCAACTCTTGTCTTTGCATTCTCCACAGTTGTGACCAAAATGACTTTAACAATTACAGTTCAAATGTTATAACCTCACCCATTAGGTAAGAATGGGATGGGTGAAAATGCACCCACATCCAATAGCCAATCTAGGATGCAGGCCAAAAATTCCCATCTGGCTCCAATAGGCAACCAGCTAATCTCATTCTTACTTCAGGGTGGGGGGCTCTGCTTGAAAAATGGCAGAGAGGCTGAGCCGGAGGGACCAAGTCTTCTTAAAGGCTCCATCCCTCCTCCCCTCAGAAAGCAGTGTCATGCAGCTGTGATGCCGCTCTCTGGGCGGGAAAGCAAAGCTTCCCCACCATGGTGACTCAGCACCATGGCAGAGCATTCATTAATGAGGGCAGAATTTAAAGAAAGGCAATCCAAATGATAGCCACCATAAACATCATTCATTTCTAAGAACTTTATAAAGTCAGGATAATGAATGTTTAAAATTCTTAGAAATGAATGATGTCTATGGGTAAAGTCAGGATAATGAATGTTTAAATTCTTAGAAATGAATGATGTCTATGGTTTTCAGTCCTCCTTAAGTTTTAAGCATTATGCAATGATTACATCTGTTTCCATCACAATTAATTCTCATCTCTTATCACAAAAGAAAGATTATATTGCTAGACTTCCTCTGATGCTGTCTGGAAGATGTTCTTAATGAAAAAGATCATAGGAAGTGTAGAATGTACTTAATTTACTTTGTGATTTTAATTTACTTATTATTTTAAAAAAATACTTAATTTTACTTTATGTTTCTTTATGATTAGCTTAAATCACTGAGACGTGACTTCCCTCTGCTGTGAAACATTAGAAATTATGTGTTGTTATCTCCAGTTCCATTACTTACGGCACAGTTGAGGCGTCCTCCAGTTCTGAGGCTTTCCGCCAGCATGGGAGCATTGTCGGGAGAACTCTGAGACAGTGCTGCAGAGGCAGAAGGAGTCTTCGCCATTCTGACAAGCACACCTGTCTTGCATGCAAGCTTGAACATACTGTTCCAAATTCAAGCGGGACTGACAATCTGCAAAGGCTGGAGCTGTCAGCAGCTGCTCACACTCATCACGCTAGAAAGAGAAGAAAGTAGAGTTAAACTGGTCCCTTGAAACTCTTATATTGTCCCCCACAACACACACACACACACAAAAAGTAGAGTTAAACTGGTCTCTTGAAACTCTTATATTGTCCCCCACAAAACACACACACACACACACACACACACACACACTACTGAAGTGACAGTATCAAGTACAGTTGATTAAAGTAGCATGCCAAAATCATGGATTCAATGTAAGCAATTCAGTCATATAATGGGAAATCATGAGTCAATGGCCAGAATCTCATTGCCTTGCAATCATGCAAGCAGTGGGAAGACTCTTGCCATTTGTGCATCAGATGCCTCGTCATCTAGGTTGTACAGTCAATAATAAGGCCATTCACGCAACTGGATACACAACTAACAGATGACACAGTACAAAAAAATTCCACTTGTGTGATTGCCCTTTTGCATGGTGTACTTTACAACAAGATTTTGACCAGTGTTTCCTTGAGGAGGGGAGGGGCTGCTTCAAGGCTACAGGAATGAGTGCAAAACCTACATGATGTACCAAGTTTTGATCACTGGGTGGAAGAAAATATGAGTACTTGTCACAGCTTTAAAGATCCTGTCACAGCATGGAGTTGTGGATAAGCATCAGACAACCTGCTTGCTGCCCAGTCAACTACTATCCCTAGCCTCTGGCAGTGTACACTACAGAGAGATTGGGCACACAGCCACTGTATGTGCTCTTGTGTGAGGTGAGCAACCATCCCTGAGCTGGGTATGTCAAAGAAAGTGGCCCTAAGATTTCTTAAGGGAACCCCAAAAACAGGGATGCAAGGCCAAATCGCCCCCCAAATTTGCATCCAGTTCTATGCCAAAACTATACACCCAGGACTGTGGCAAAAGGCAGAAAGAAATACAAAATAGACAAAAACCAGGTGGTGATCATAAAGTAATGAGAAAGGTAGAACAAATGAACGGAATATGAGAAGGCCCACCACTGAACCCAACTTATACCTTAACAATACTGCTTAAATCTACAAACCATAAGGAGGACAAAGGAGCTCCAAAGCATCCTAGCTTCACTGGGAAGCATTTTTAGGTACCCAAGTGGACCAGCTTGAGAGCTGGCTACCTTCTGTCTGCTCTGGATGTCCCACCCCTGCCATCCAATCCTTTTTCAATTGGCTGGCTGGTCGAGAAGAAGACACATGTGAGCTCACACAAACCAGACAACTGTCTTGAATATCTCCACAGCATCAAAGAAGATGGTGGCATAGTTTCTATTGCAAACCAATGTAGGGACCCTTATATGGGTATCTCTTCTGGAAAGCAGTCACATAAAGGTGACCAAGTCCATATTGGATTAGTTCCTTAATATAAAGTTCTTAGCACTGGACATTTATGTAGATATTTTTAATTGTTTTGTAACCTCTGTATCACACATGTTGGATACTACTGCTGAGCCTAGCGTGATTGTCCCTGCTATATACTGTTCAATGACTTGTATGAAGAAAATCTAAGACATTATTTGTCTTGGAGATCATCTACACAAGGATACATCAATTGAGATCAGAGAAGATACTTAGATTATGCTAATGAATCATGCATGATTTTTGTACGCCATCAAATTCAGAGGGGACTGCAAATTGCTCACCCCTTGATTTAGATGCATGGATAATGCTCATATAAACCCTGCTTGACAGCAGGGATGATGTGTTGCTGCACCAAAATAATAATA